TGGAGAAGTTGATCCTCTGCCAAGGAGTGTGATGCTGGGTAAGCCATTTACATCAATCTTTTAATAGTGGCCAGGTCAGCACTACTAATTTGTACATAAATAGCTACAGTTGTCAGGTGGGTGATGAGTTGTGACTTGTGACTATCATAGCTCTTTGATCCAAATCTCCTAGTGTGCAGGATATTTTATTCTCCCACTTGAAAACGTAGAAGAAAAGATGGGGAAATAAATATGTCACTGGTTGCTAAAATGTTGCTGTTGTAGCTCTTGCATTGTTCCTCATTTTGTGGGTTCTCATAGGACTACACATGTGCATCTGCACCAAAGGCAGCTGGAAGCTGTATCCTTTGAATATAGATTATGCACTGCTTGATACTAGCAAGCTCTGGATTTCAGGTATTTTTGAGATTTCGATTTTGAGACTCTTCAGATCTTAATTTCTGACTGCCTCAGTTTACAGAGTATAAAATGAAACTAATACATTCCTTTAGTGAACAGAACTGATGGAAATGTATCACTTGTGGACTGTCATGATGTTCTCAGTGCAAGCACCACAGAAAAAGCACCACAAATATCTGTTTGACTCTTTGTCTGTCTTTTCTCTATTGAATTTAGTACTTCAGTACTTTGTCAGCTTTTCTTTTCTTTTAATTTTATTTCTCTCCTTTCTACAGCTAGCAATGTAAGGTTGCTTGTCCTTGCCACATTGTTCAGTATTTACTGCAGTTTGCTCAATTGCCCTGCGTCTGTTGAGATGTAGGATTGTGGGACAATAACCTCTGAGGCACAGAAACTTAAACAAAATCCTCAGAAGTACACAAGCTTGAAAAAATTGTCAAATTGATATGAACTTCTGATTTTGTTTCAGTGCAAATTGCTGCATAAACTCTAATCTTGCCTGAATGTGGACTGTTTTAGCTGAGTTAGTAATTTAAATTTCATTTTATTAAATTGAAGTAAGAGGTTTTTACATGGAGATAAGAGCTCTATGAGGAAGAAGGGCAACAGGGGTGTCTTAGTGAAAAGAAGAGGTAGTGGAGAGAAGGACTCCATCCTTCTTCCTTCTTTCTTCTCTGTGCTCATTTGAAAGTCTTTCTTCCTCCCTTCTCTCCCTCAGCCTAATGAAGACTACGATGAGCCTTGGGGAATGTCAGACTTGTGGGACTAATAATCTCAAAGTTTTAATCAGAGGACAATTTTGATGGGCAAGGGGAGATGCTTTCTGTGGGACATAAGTCACATGGGACAGTGCTGGAGCAGGGGAGGAAAAGATGACTGCCTTGCCAGTATTCCATTGGGGAAAAGTGGCATGGGAATGGGGAAAGAATAGAGAGGAGAAGGTGGAGGGTGGGACTGGAATGAGTACAGAAGCAGGTAGGTTGTGAGAAGGGAGAAGGACTGGGGAACAGGGATTAAGTAGATGGAAAGGGGTAAAGGCTGTAGAAGTTGAATCTGGTGATTTTGTGGGAGGAAGGGAAGAGGCAGCACAGGTTTTAGTGCTCCAGGGTGGACCAGAGGCTCCAGGACTCCTGGTTCAGGCAGCACCATTCCATAAATCTGTTATTTGCATGTCTGCCTTGCCTGTCTGCACATCAGCTGTCTGGGCAGAGCCTGTCTTCCAGAGCTCAATTTGCAAAGAGAGAGAGTACATAGGGCTCTGAGATGAGATGTTGCATTCTCTAGCCCATCTTCATAGGCAGTACTGATGCTCCTCCCAAGCACAGGACTCACTCAGATTTCCTGTTGGGTGAAACACCCAGCTCATTTGCCCAGAGCTGATTCCAGCCGATGAATAGCATGGAAAAGTGGTGAATCAGGCCTTGAGTTTAGTTCCAGTGCTGGCAGGGTCTGTGCTGCTGGCATCCAATTTACTAGCCAAAAATTAGCCATCATTTTGCCTTGTAACTGACAGTCAATTTCAGATGTTTGAAACATCATTTGTACTACAGCCAAGCAGAATTAATTTTGAGCATGGTAGAAGCTGTGTTTTTAATAAAAGGCCATGTTCATAACTAATCAAGTTACACACATGTGGCCCCTACTGAAAAGGCAGAAGCAGCAAGTTGTTGTAGTCATAAGGAAGGTTATTAGACCATTCAGTGTTTAGTAACAGTATAGAAAAGTCCTGATCCTACAAAGTGCTGGGTGCTCTCAACTCCTTTTGATTTTTGACCAGTTTTTGAGGTACCCCCACAATGCACAGTCAACACCATGAAATCATTAAGCAAAGAGCAGTGTAGGAAATAAAGTATGAGAACAGCTTGCTTGTTCTTAGGAATAGCTTTTATTGTCCAAAAACTGGGGTATATTTACTTCTTGTTTGTGATAGTTAAAGTAATAACTCCAGTGGTGGTCTCTGTTTTTATAGAATTTGTAATATGTGCTGCCTTTGGATGTGCAGTTTCAGTCTTCTGCTGATGAGAGATGGAATTTGTGCTCTATTTGATTCATGCCATATCTTCTGTCAGTTCAGTGCCTGTATAAGCAGGGTTGATGGTATGTAGTAACTTGGTGTGAGAGGCTAAGATAAAACCCCAGCTGTTTCTTAAGATATCGCCTGCTGTTATCAAGAGGCTCAGGTTAGCAATTTTAAGTGTTACAAGGACCTATGTTTTTGAACTGCTTTTCTGAAGAGAAGGTAGAAATGTACATGCCTGGCTATTTTAAGAATCATTCTTTCTTGAGTGTGCTTACTTTATGAAATGTGGGCTGAGGGAATATGGGTAATAAAGCTGAATTATCATTCTTGAGTGTTTGTAGATTAAGGATATTGTGTACAAGTGAGTCGTGGTGAAAGCTGACTTAGGTTTAAAATACCAGCAACAACAACAACAACAATAGAGAATGGATAGCCCAACCAAGTGTCGCTCATGTCACTGTAGTTCTTAAGGGATTCTGCTATACTTGCCTTCTTCACTGACATGGATGCAGCACACCAGCAGCCAGCCAGCTTCCACGATCCCTCCTGCTGACCAGTCCATGAAGAAATAGCTATCTGCCAAACAAGCTGTTTGTTTTATTTCGAAGCCCCAGTGGACCCAGCCCTTCCTGCCTAGCAGCTGCAGCAGGCTCCATTCCTGCTCAGTGCCTGGCCTGGGAAGAGATTGCTCATTGGCCCAGGAGAGTGGTTCTCCATAATTGGCTTGTGAGGAATGCTGTGTGAGAGGATTTGGCCTTTCTTTTAAATTGTTTGTTTTATTAAAGTTTGTTTATTAAAATGAATATCTGGTCACAATAGAAACATGTTTTTTGAAGCCTGTGTATTGCCAAGAGAGCAGGATAGAGCACTATCAGGTTATTGCTTCCCCAGGATCAGGCAGCTCTGCAGACCCTTGTGGGCAGCATCCTGGCACATTCTTTCTTCCCTCTTCCAGCTGAACTCTGATGGATCTGCTGCAGCCTTCACTCCCTGCATGTCTACAGGGGGGACAGGAATGTGGGAGTTGCTCCACCTGTGGAGTTTCTCATAAACAGAGGCTGGATCTGTATTGCGGATTGAAGGGGTACCAAAGTTGGTTTTGAACAGGCCAATCAGAGTGCCTCTGGCAGTCTAGCTGATGAAGTAGAGGGGTCTGTCTGTGTGTGCTTATTTATACCACTAAAAAGCGTGATTGTTTACCCTTGGAAGATAAATTAATCTGAGATGGTAAATTCATGCAGAAAGCCAAGTCTACCTCTAATAGCCAAGACAGTTTAGCCAGCTTTGCACCATGCATGTACCCAATCAGTTCTGTTCATTAATTAAAAGTTTTGAAACTTTCAGTAAATTAAAAATATGTTTGTCATATTGAGTTCCTATACCATTCCCTCATCAGCTGACAGGAGAATATGGCACCTGCAGCTGTCACAAAAAGTGTGGGCAACAGCCCTAGTAGCCCTTTCTAGTGAGTGTGTGTCTTACATATGGTTACATAAGCTGTAATATGTCAGCTTGCCTATCTGGGATATGAGATGGCTCATCTTGTGAACCCAGGAAGATGAATTTTAAACCCAAGATAATCTTGTTCAGAATTTATGGCTTTTGGAGCTGGAGCACCTCATCGCTATATGATTATATGTTTGTATGTTGTAGTTTCTCCGCATGGAATGTAACACAAATAATCTCAGGCTTTCTTAGCAAAGCGTTCAGGATTTGCTGGATGAGGGATTGTCTGGATGAGGGAACGGCGTGGGAACACTGTTACGGGCCAGTGAGTCAAAGACTGGAATTCCCTCTATAAACTAGTAATGTGTCTGGTGAGTTAACATGCTCAGAGCTGCAGTGGTTTGGGTTTGTTGACACACTTCTCAGTGAGACTGGTGTTATTCAGTTTTCTGGCTAGGACTTACTTTGGACAGCCGAGTGAAACAAATGTTCCTAGGGAGAAGTATGAACTGAAGGCTTGAGGTTAAGGCAAAATATCCTTTACTGGACTTGGAAGAGAATAGCAACAGTGGTGATTTTTAAATCCTGCCTGTGAGATCAGTGTTAAAAACCTTGAGCAATGTGGTTAGATCTGTGTCTACAGTGTGTGTAGGTGCTGTAGTGCTCGTAGTCACAGCAGGGATTTCTGCTTGGTTTGTGACTTGGCTCAGTCTTTAAATGGACACACTCTGAACTTTCTTCTGTAGCTATCTGTATTCTTCTCTTGTCAGACACCCAGACTGGGCACCCCACTGTGACCCAGTAGCTCAGCTGGATAAACTGAAATTTTATGAGGGCAAGGTTTAGGATGGACTTCTCTACTGAGGAGAATTGATCAGTGTCCCGTTGCTCATTGTCCCGTGTGCTGTGGCTTGATATGCTGCAAAAGCCTTCCTGCAGGGCTCTTCCACTGGCAACCTTCAGACCACAACTGGAGGTCCCCACCAGCAGCCGGGGGTTCCCAGTGCCTGGGAGTATCCTTCTCAGACATTTATGTTGCCGGTGGGAAGAGAATTTCTCACCTCCTCTGTGGCAGACCCATTTTGGAACAGTAAGGATTTGTGAGATAAACAGGAAGGGTTGCTAAGGGATTCTGAGTTGGCTGATTGTCACCACACCAACTGACCCAGAATGGCCATGGCTGAAGCCTGCTGGATGTCACCACCTGCTCTTTGCCACCCATTCTTTTCTGGTTTGCCTTCTCCTATCTTGCTTCCAGTCTACCAGCTTCAAAAGGAAAAAAGCTAGCTGAAGAGACCTGCACTACTGGTTATTTGATGTAGGTTTTGCTAAAATGGACTGACACATACATACAGTTCTGGCTGGTGGTAGCTGTGCATGAATAAACATAATTACCCGTGGCTGTGATGTGGTATCTAGCTACTGTAGATGCAAAGCATGAATTTAATAACTGTGTATGGTGAAATGGTTATAAATGCACGACTGTGCAGTGTAGACAGGGCCTGATATATCACTCATTTCTACATTTGTAATTAATTGTAGGAACAAGATTGTTCTTTGCATGTGTTCTTTCTTTGCTGCCAAGCACGACAGAGAGCTATAATGATCTTATACCTTAAGCTTTTAATAAAATATTGTTGGTTACCTAGAAAAGAAATTTCTTAATTAAGTTTGCTATACAAAATCCCATCATGCTTTTTAAGATTTTTTTTTTCTACAACTCCTTAATGACTTTTACCTCTGAGTATAATCAACAACAAAATTTCTGATATTTAAGAAACATTTTCTGCATATTTTTTCCATCTGGATATAATGGAGCATAATTTAAGACTATGGGCAGAAGAGGGGGTAAATGATGCATGTAATGATTGTTTTAACATTTACAAGAAAATAATTTATTTAAATTGGATTAAGCCTTAATATTATCACACTTTTCTACCTGATTTAACATGGGGGGAGGGTGGGGGAAAGGGAAGAAAACGATTTCATGGTGAAGTGTTTTAAGTATTTAGTATTTTCTTTGCTTTTTGATCATCCAGGCATCCAGCCCCTCAGCCATGTAAATTTTCTTACATACAAATGTTCATTGCCATCTTTTACATTCCTCTGCTGACAGTGAAGAGGTCGTGCTAAATCAAACTGATGGAGAAACTGGACATCATCTTTACCCTGAATGCCCAGATTAATTCTACCAGAACAGAGGTGGGATAACAGCAAAGAATAATTTGCTTTTATGTATTACTGCTTTTAAGAGCTCTATTCATCATATTGCTAACTCTGGTATACAAACTCAGAGTGAGACAAAGAAATAAGTACTTTCTTAGGTAGGACATGAGACCTTAGGAGTCTGTGGGTTTTTTATGTCCCCAGTCTAATTATTTCTGCTGAGAATGGGTCTCCAAGTCCAAACTTTATCATCTTTGTAATTCTTTTTCCTGCTCCAGGAGAGAGGAATCAAGTGGGATAAATTCTGTATCTGTATGCTACTCCAGCTTTGACTCTACTGATTGAAGTGTTTTGTTTTTAATAAATGCTGTTTTGACGAGGAAAAAAAAATCTCCTACAGTCAAAAGAGCTCCATTAGTGGCAGAACTAGCAAAGCCTGGTTTTCTGTAGGTTGGTGCCTCATGGTTTCACAGTGAATTACAATTGTCTCTTCCTACAGTGGGGTCATTTGTTAGGTCTCTCTCCCATGTGGATTCTTTAATGCTTCTTAAGGTTTAAATTCATGTTACGGCTTTTTTTTTTCTTCCAGCTATGATACTTTTAGAATCACTTTATTCCCCTAACTATTTATTTTTTACAAAGAATGTGGAAATTTGAGTGTTCTGTGTATCTACTGCATTTTGTTAAAATATAAATAAAAAGCCTGGAAACTCAGTGTGTGACTTTCCAAACTTCAGTGTCATAGCAAGCCAAGAAATAATGGTAGTATCTTGCTAAGTACATTGCCCAGTTTGGGTCTCTGTTTAAGTTCATGTCTTCTGGGAGACGTAAGTTTGGCTTTCTAGTTAGTCCTGCTCATCCAGTAGAGCTGCTGTCATCAATGGAAGATGTTCTGGCTTTATGAAGCATCAAATAATTATTATGCAAATTCCTGTTAAAATGACAGATTTTCTTCCAGTCCCATTTTCATTAGAATTAAATGTAAGTTCCTCATCACCTTCAAGAGGAATTAGATTTCTTTTACAACTGTAAAAGAATTCAGAGGTTGGAGCAGTTTTATTGTCAATAAAAAATATTTATTTTATTAATAGTGTACTATTAATCATTTAGATACAAAGAAGAAAATATTTCTTCCCAAATCCAGTTTCAATACACAAAGCTGGGTAGTGTGCCCTGTGAAATCTCATATTTGTTTGTTCAGTTTGTATTGTGGTGGTATAATACACATGGAATTCCATTATGTCTTTTTAATTTTTTTTTCTGTAAGAGATTCACTTTTAAAAATTAAAAGTACACTTCAGATAAATGGAAGGTTAAATTCTATTGATGCACACATTCTTTGTGTGTGCCTAAGCTTCTGTTTACTTGGGAAGTATAATATCGGTAGAGTACTTCGCACTTTAGAGTTTATTAATTTCTTTTTTCTCCTTTCTTTGAGGTGTCAGTACTGAGAAAGATGAATCATTTATTAGTGGGAGGCCTGACACATGATGAAATCACTATCTGACACTTCAATGACTTCCAATGTTGTTCTGTGAACATTCAGCAAAGTGCAGATGATGTGATGTTGCAGTTCTGTGGGTAGTGTTTTCCCCTTTCTTTTCGCAAATGGGTGAAATGCTTTATCATCATGGTTTGTGAGATCTTTCCCATTTGTGATGAATAGCCTTTCCTTATTGTTTAAAGTGATTCATTATCTGATGTAGGAAAAAAAAAATAGAACACATCTGCAACTGGCAGAGAAGAAGAATTCTCCTCAGAATCAGTGAAAAAGCAGAACTTGATCCATGGGGGTTTTTTCGAGGGGAGGGGTGTGGGGGAGGGCACAGATAACATTCTTGGCTGAGTGTTGCTACAGTTTGGAGTCCTCCTCTTAAGACAGAGCATGCAAATCTCCATTGTGTTACAAATGAACTGCACCTAAGGGACAGTTCTCTGCTGGCCACATGATTACCTCCGGAAAAGGGCAGTGATCTCAACCCAAATACATTTAGGGTGTAAATTGGCATCTGACAATCAAGCAGTTGGCAATAAACAAGTGGGTGTTAGACAAAAAGCTGAACAGTTTTACTTACTTAAAAAGTAAAGTTTAATTCTAGTGTCTTCAGACCAGTAAATGGTTTTGCAAGCATATAGGTTAGAATTTTTGCCTTACTGAACTTACCTTCTTTCCCTTCCGTGTATGTTTTCTATTCACTTCCCTCCCCGGCCCCCAGAGAGTGTAGCAGTATCCTCAGACTATTAAGATATTTTCCTGCATCATGCAATTTGAAATCTGAACAATGTTACTCCTGCTCCTTTCCCAAGCTACATCACTCACCCATTCAGATGCCCTGCTGTAAGTAAAATGTCACAGGCTGGCAAGTTGTAGGTATAGACATGCTTCCCAGTACCAAGTGTGGCATCTAAGAGCTGGCTTCAGTGTTTTTTTCTAATTTAACTGGTTCCTCCCTTTGTTTCCTCAGAAGCTCATGGTCTTTTCCCAGTCCAGCCTCTCTCACTTCTGGAAGTTAGGGGCTTTTTCTCTCTTGATGACTTTGTATAGTCCTCATCTCTCCACTGTCTAAGCATCTTCAGTTCGTGCTGTCTACCACCGTGATACTTTACTGAATGTCCTCTTCACAGATGTATGTGGGTACAGCAGAACTAAATATTCATCCATCTAATGTGGTGAGGGAAGACCAAAAAGAGCTGGCAATTAAACTCACCTTTAAATTAAAGACACAATATATCTTGTGGGATATTCTCCCTCTCTAGTGGCTAATTTTTGTATCCTTGATTTTGCCCTCAAGGGTTTTGTCTCTAGACTGTTCTACAGCTACTACTGTAAAGAAGAGGAGACCTTTAGAGATAGTAAAACTGTCTTAATTATGTGTTTGTTGTTCGCTGTTGCATGTTCCTCACCAGTATGCACACATCAGATGCAATTATGTGTGCAAAAAGTCAGGAGTTTGAAACCACTTTGCTTACTGCCTTATTACTCTGAATCTGATAGGAAAAATTGTAAACTTCAGAAAGGGAAGAAGTTATATCAATTTTCAATCCAGAGTGACTTTGGCATGTCTCTACCACCTTTCCTTGGCATCTCTACATTCAAATTATCTGTCACATTAGGTGTGGATCCTGGTGGTTCATCACAGGCTGCTAATAGCAGGAGGAGGGTGCCCACCCCTTCTCATCTGAAGAGAAAGCTCTTTTTAGGACCACTCACACCCTTGGGCCAGGCAGAAAGAACTAGACTATCACAAGCAGTTTAAAAAGCAGGCATTGGGTGGCTCCGCCTGGAGAGCGGTTCCAAGATGTCCTAAACTGCTCCAAACCAGAGCTTTGTTGCAGTTGCAGCCTGGCTTTGAATCATCTATATCCCCACCCCATGTATTGCACCAGTGCTGGTGCTTGTCTGACTCCACAGGGAGCTGAACTAACAGGGCAGCGTTAAGATTTTTTTGAAGTTAGTTCAGTGTTCTCTGAACCAGTTCAGTATGAGAGCAGACAAGCATCCTTACTGGCACAGGAAAGGGCAGCAGCTGGGGAAGGAGGGACTGTGGCAGCCGCAGCTTACATCGGATTAGACTGTCATGGAACCACGGCTACATTTGGAGAAGGCACATGAGCATCTCCGGGTGATTTGAGGGGACAATACCCCCAGGCAGGAGGAGGGGCATTGCGATAGTAATCTCTCCCAGTAGGACAGCTGATCCAGAGAGAATATTTGTCTACAGTATAAAATAAATTATAGAAGAACTTTCCAAACACATTGAAAAGACCTATAAGTTTGCTGTCAGTGTTGTGTAAAACAAGTTAATTCAACGTAGGCGTAAAAGATGTTTGTTTTGCTCCCATCTCTCTCCCTGGCAGCCCGCCCCATCCTCTTTTTGCAAGGCATGAGATATCCTCCTGCCCTGGCCCTCTTAGGTCATGGTATGACGGGCACCCTGCCAAACGAGGCTGATCTTATAAGCTGCTACTGCCCTGGTTGTTGCTGGGACTGTTAGCATGATTTTTAATTCACTTCTGTGCTGCCCTCATTTTTTTTCTAGCCGGAGCTTGAAGTGGGAGTGTGCTTAGTTAGCTGTGAACTACGCTGCTGCAAATTCATGCTCTATTAGCACCTTTTCAAAGCTCCCCTTTCTGTTCTCTGAAGAATTAGAACGCGGCTATTAAACAAAAAATAAATAAATAAACCAACCCCAAACAGAAAAAAAAAACAACACTCAAGGCTATTGCACAGTGTCATTGTTTAAGGCTTTGTATTTAAAATTATTGCTAAGATAGGTTTGTTTGTGCGCTTCCTTGCTTTCTCCATAATATATTTAGAGTAGAAAACAACAGCATGGGTAATAAGATGCTGATGAACCTAAGGTAGATGTGACAGGGTAATGCGGATAGTGCGCCTAGAATTTGTCAAAGCAGGCGAAATAACCCCACCTTGGGCAATTTTCAGAAGAAATACACTACAGTACTTGTCAGGTCCGGGTAACTGCTGCATAAACATACTACCTTCTGGCATACGAATATCACTTTGTATAAGGCAGTCACACCGCAAAAGAAAAGGGAGAGGCAGGGCAAAGACCCTGATCTTACAGAGCCTTACAACAAGCAAAGATCTCAGAAAAGTGCTAAAGCAGAAACCAGCCTTCTTTAGGGATAAGTACATTTATTTCTAAACTATCCACATATTTCATTTCCACTTACGTTCTGATAAAATAAACAATGCTGTAAAATTTATCAGTGTATTTTGGAGAATGTATCTACTGTCATCAGCAGGAATACAAAATTAGGCTACAAATAGACTCCTCATCAACAGATTACTAAAAATTTCAGAATTACTGCCACAGTTGGGATTGACATTTGGCAGAAATATCTTGCCGTATGAAATAACTAGAGAACTTCAGTATCAAAATCTCCAGTTACCAAGCAGTACCATTGTAGGTATAATTTTTATGTTAAATATTTATATTATTTTTTTTCAAAATACATACAAGGATCTCATAATTTATCTTGCATTGAAACAAGTAACAAAGGACTGGTAGAGAGCAGCTGAATTGTGCTGAGATGTTGATCCATATAGGTATGTATATTTTTTTCTTTGCTAGGATGTGAAAAAGAAAACAATGGCTTTCATAATATACTCTTATAAAAACAGTGTGACAGCTTTCACCACAACCTTTATGTGTTTATAATACCTATTTACACACACATTTATGCACAGAGATATGAAAATCACATCTTGGAAATCAAAGGGGGCAGATGGAATAAAATGTATTGAAATGATAACCAAAGCATGCAGTAAACTGTAAACCACAGTTTGTTCACCTCTGCAGTCTTAGGTGGTCCTCTTTTTTGCTGTTTCACTGATAGGTTCCAGGTACATGGGTACATACAGGTGTGCTTAGATCATAAATGCATTGCTTCCATCGTTCACACAGTAGGAATCTGGGGGTTTTTTACTAGGAGAGGCATAATCATCTACTGAAGTGTGGGAATAATGTAAAAACACCTCGTCTTTCCCTAGATATTATATGTTATTTCTAAGATTATGTTGATTTAACTTGATTGAGGCCTCCTTGGAAGAGGAGCCACCCATACAGCCAACCCTCCCAAGGAAACGATGATTTAAGATAAGGCATTCATTTGTTACTTGTTAGAGTTGTTAGCACAAAGGCAGTGCTTGACCATGAGCACCTTGCTTTTGTCTCCCCCTGAACCTTTGGGACTCCCTTAGCCAGAGGGATGAAAGCCCAGGAAGTCACAAAGACAATGGAATTTGGCAGGATTGGAAGTGTTCCCTTTCACAACATGAAATTACTGGTGTAATTTCCAACTGTTGCAGTCAGTAAACCTTTTCTTTTGAGAAGACTGTGCATCAGCATATGTTGTAATGACTAAGAAAAAGGAAAAGCTTGACTTTGAGAAAGGCTTTTAATTTGATCTAGGGAAAAACACGTTCTGGAATAACTTCATTGTTACATTTTGCAGTGCAGCAACTCCTAAAAATTGAACCATTTACACACCTGGCATGCCTCATAATTTTAACACATGAAATGCAGCCTCCAGATGCCCACATGGCAAGATAATGTAAAGCCAGAAGAACCAGGAATCCTCCCATCCTTAGTCTTTGTCCACAATGTTTTGATGGGAAATCATTCTATTAGAAAATTTCTGTCAGTGCTCCAGCTTGCAGAATCCAGAAACAGGACTGTAAGCTGTCCAGTTGTTTTCTTCCTTTTCCTTCTTTTCATGTATATATGTGCTTGTGAGAAGTTGTATACCTTTTTCCTTGCTTCTAATAAATTTCTGGGGTGTAATGCTGTAATGTGGTATGCACAAGCATGTGGAGAATCTTAGTAAGAGAAATTTGCATCACTTTTGTTCACTCCAAAAGGTCTTTTTCCCTTAATAGCTTCAGTTTGTAATCTGAAAGTCGTGGTACAGAGGCTTCTGTTACAAATAGGAAATCCCCAGTGTGTGCCTGTCTTCCCACATTGAGTCTCAGCCTTCTTCACCATCAGATAGAACTTTCTAGCAGGTTAATAATGGCTGAAAGAGAACATCTATTAAAATGAGGACTCACTGCAATGAAATGCTGGCTTTTCTCTGTAAAACATAAGCAAATACAGATCTTTCTAAACAAACTAACTTCCAATTGCCAAAGAGGAGTACTTCCATCTCTGCCACAAGGTTGAAACATACCATTAAAACAAAGAGATGTGGTTGATATCCCCAGAAAATATTTATACTGACAGAAAAGGGCAAGAGTCAGTCTTTCAGTTTGGGTTCTGCAAACTGTTGTTGATTATAAGTACACTGTTTATTCCAGAAGGGTACAGAGAAAATCTGCCCTCTGACACTTTATCTATGTGGGCAAAAGTAATTTCTGAGAATCCTTTAGAAAGCTTAGGATCAATAGTACATAGCATAAGCATAAGGTGACAAGGAAGGTCAGCACGGTAAATAAGATTCTTCACTAGCCAAAGTTCAGCAAAATTGTCCAGATGGCCTTAGACAGCAGACTGTTCTGTGCCACAGAGGAGGGAACAAGGGGCTGTGGATTGAGCCAGTCTAAAGAGAGGGCTAATTCACTGATGATCCCAAGAGAATATGAATGTTGTTTTAAACAAGTTCTCTGTGTGTGTGTGTGTCTGCATTTTCATTGGCCAAGGAGATCATATAATGGTTTGGGATGGAAGGGGCCTTCAAGGGTCATGAAGTCAAATCCCTCTGCAATAAGCAGTGACATCTTCAACTGAATCAGTTGCTCAGCACCCCATCCAGCCTGGCTTCCCATGTTTCCAGAGATGGGGCATCCACCACCTTCTCTGGGCAACTTGTCCCAGTTTTTCACTACACTCATTGTAAAAAAACATTCCTTATTTCTAATCTAAATCTTTCAGTTCAAAAAGGTTATCCCAACTGTCACCTGTCACAAGCGACTGTGCTAAAAAGTTTTTTCCCATTCTTTCCTATGGGCCTCCTTTAGTTACTGAAAGACCACAATATTTTCTCTCTGGAGCCTTGTCTTCTCCTGCCTGAACAATCCCAACTCTCTCAGCCTTTAGGAAAGAAGAAGGAAGCACTTCTCATAGAAAGCATTCCAACAGTCTCATCATCTTTTTGGCCCTCCTCAATGTTGCACCCCTTTTTTGGTGGGGGCAGTGGAATGGATATATTTATTGAAAAATGTGAACTGTGATCAGATTTACTGATGCGGATGTCTAAGTGAGTATGGCAGGTCATTCATTAACAACAGTTGTGGAAAATGAGGAGATACCTGAGAGCTTCTTGCTCTAAACAGCACAGTCTTACGGGGAGAAAATAAATGACTGATGCAGAGCCGACATGCAAAGTCACTCTTACTGCATTAAATTAAGTGGATTTTCATTTAGTGTTTTCGATCTAGCTATTGCTGGGCTCCATACAGAATCCGGCAGGATGTGGAATGTTGATAAAGGGACAAAGAAAATGGGCACCAGTTTAAGTGCCATAGTTCAAGTAATTGTCAAAGAAATGCCCTTTGTCTAAAACATTCTGCCATGGTGATTAGCAGCTGTCTGTCCTTTGTTATTTGAAATGTTTTATCAGGACAGATAATTGTGGTCACATGATTCATTCTGTGAATTCTGTGAATTTTGTGAATTCTATGATGATTATAGCCATGATTCACCAGCATTGTGTTGGTATCAAGAAAAAGTGCAAATAATTTGACATCTCCTGAGTCAAAGTACTCTGGAATATTGGGATGCTTTTTAAGTTTCTAAGATCCTATTTCTTTTTAATGTATGACAACAACATTTCTAACACAAGTTACTTCCATAAGGCATCGACATTTGCACAGCCATATTGACAGATACGGATTCTTTAAATTTTAAGTTCCAATAGCTTTAATGCATTTTATTTGGGAAAAAATCTACTCCATGACAAAATGAATTTGCCTCACAAACAATAAAATAGCTCAACCCAGTACCTGGCTAACATAAGTCTATCTAGCAATTTACAGTCCGTTGAATATTGGGCTGTAAATTTCCTAAGAACCAGGAAGTGATTGGCTTGTAAACCTTAATAAAACAATAAAGCCTGGCTTTCTGTTAATGCAGATTTAAAATTCTGTCCAGCTAAGCGTAGAGCATACCTAAATGGTGAAACTAATTGACACAGCCATTATGGGACAAACTATTTTGCAAAACAGTGTCTTGTGTGGATATTTTATTTCAGAATATAGATTATGTTTAAATCTTGTAACAGATACTCTGCTTTATGAAGTGAGTGGTGATTCTAGAAAAAATGTGCTTTCAGAGAAACTGTAGAAGAACTTGGTAATGCCAGTCAGAGGACAAATTATATTCTGCAAGAAAGTTTAAACAGAGTCCAGGCTAACTTTCAGTAATGCATAATGTAAATCAGGTGAAAAACAAAGCCTCAAAGCAACACCAAAACAGACATAGTAAAAAATTGTTTTTACCTAGCACAATTTTTAGCAAGACAAACCTTTGTACACTTCCTATTATTGTTTCCTGGGAGTTTCCTATGTGTATCAAAGGAAGAATATCCCTTTAAATGCTTGCTATTGATTTGCATTCAGAAGCCAAATTGATTGCTTTTGTGGAAGTTCCCTATGTGAATCAATGAGAGTATCAAGTTAATAAATAATTCACTTAACAAAACTGCATTAAGATAATGCTAAAGCTTTGCAAAAATCCTGTAAAGGAAAGCTTTCCTACATTCCTAACTAACTGCTGAAAGTGAATGGAGCTTCAGAAACATTGCAGCATCACCTTCAAAAAAAAGCTAAGCACTCCTTTTCTGTTAACTTCTCAGTGAGGCAGCTGAGTAGGTGTTAACAGATTTTTTTTTTTTTTCTTTTAGTTTCATGATTGGAAGATTGAGGCTGGAAGTAGTCTCTGATAGGCATCTTGTCTAAACTACCTGATCAAGAAGTCACCTAGAGCAGATTGCCCAGGATTATGTCCAGATGGCTTTTAATCTTCTTTGCCCTGGAGACAGATACACATAACTTGGCACTGATCTGCTAGCAAGAAAACTTCAACACATCAATATTGGAAGCTTATGTCCAGTGCTCCCATTTTAATAGAAGAGCATTGCACAGATTTCTGGAGTGTGGTTTTTCATAACACTCTCCTGTCCTCCCAGGTTATGGCTCCTACAGGTCCTGGCACATGTTATCACAGCTGAGTATAGCTTTGGGGCTGTACATTCACAGTGATAACAGCTTCTCATTTTGCTTAGTGACTGTCTTTCCATTCACAGACTGCAGAAGAAATCGAGTTGGGGAGTTAACTTGGATGCATTTTACCCTTAACCAAAATATTCTTTGGGATTCATTTGAATATTGAAGCCCTTAAGTTGCCTATTCCTGTTAGTATTGTGTGACTTTTGGAGAGATAAACACTGTTCTGCAGACTAAACACTTCTAAGGACTCAACCATCATTTATATAATCCTAATATTTTCCAGATCAACCAGTTTTAAATTTTATGCGTGAAATTTGTATGCAGAAAAGGGTTAAGATCTTACCCTTTTATAGCCTGATAAATGTATTTTTACTATTTATTTAAGCTCTCTAGAAATAGAAAAAGATAAAGTACTGCTAACCTATCTAGGAAACTTAACTCTGCTGCTTCACTTAAACCACTCTGGTCTTGGACAGTCGTCTAAATGACACATAAATGACTCTCTCCTCAGAACCTTTAGCAAGGCTCAATGCTTTGTGTTTGAGTTACAAGGAGCTTTTAATGACCTCTATGAAGTCACAGGACAGAGCCAAAGATGTACAGTTGTACATTCAGAAGCCTCTATTAAAGACCTTTTCAGCTTTGCTATGAATTTACAATTTGAGAATTTCCAAGAGAGTATATTTTCTGAGACAAATTTCATTGCCTTAGGACAATTTTCTTTTTTTTTTTTTTTATTTTTTATTTCATGTGATTTGTCATGGTAGAATCTAGACATTTTCCATTCGGGTTTTACTCTGTGCTTTCTGTGGCCTGCAAGGAATTAGTTTTAATTAATCTGACTGACAAATACATTGTTGAAATAGTCGTTGTGGCAGGCACGCCTTTGTGTTAACAGTTGGGTTAAACAGCCCCTTTATCAGAGCTATTAGCACCTAATATTACTGTCTGATTAAAGATCATTCAGTGAATTAGCCAGTCCCAAGGCTTCCATAGACCCCCAGACAGGTGCTGAAATAAGAAACTTTGTTAAGTAAATTAGCAGTGCTATTGCATCGTTCGTGCCTTTGTCTTGGCTGTAGGAGAGGTAAAAAATATTGGGGTTTTTTGTTTTGTTTTGTGGTGGGTTTTTTTTGGTGGGATTTTATTTGGTTTGGATTTGTTTGTTTTTTTTTTTCGGTCTGTTTTAAGCATCACGTTAACTGGTACAATCCCGAGACTGACTCTGCAAAACAAGGACAGATCAAGGCTTTTGTCCTGCAGTTGACCTGACCTTCCTGTCTCATGTAGGAATACTCTGCCTTTCCTGCACACACGGTTGTCAGGAGGATAGGTGTGCTTTTACACTAAATGCATTCTATTTCTGTGGGGTTGTGGTTTTTTTTTGGGTTTTTTTGGTTTTTTGTTTGTTTGTTTGTTTTTTTTTACATTGAAAGCATCATATAATGTAGGCAGACTATCCTCTATCCCTAAAAATGCATTTATTTTAAATTCGTACATTTAGCTGGACTCCAAGCGACTGGAAACGGGTAACTTAAGAAGGCAGGAAATCCCACAAGAGTTCACGGAGCATAGCTTAGCTGACAGTTCACTTTTTAATGGGTGAAATGAAGCCTTGACATTAATAAGCACAGGCCCCCTGACTTCAGTGGAATTTTGCATCCTTATACAAGTCAGATTTCAGGCTCAATTGTGTCGGATAGCAATTTATAGTACCCTTCATGTCCCCCTGAAAAGCTATGTGTCCTGCGTAGCCTGGGGACTGTTTCTGACAACACGGCTGCAGAGCAGAAAATAGTGGGCTGATGACAGACAAGACCCCAAAGTTTTTGTGTGCCTTGAAACATGAGCAGTGTCTATTGTCCCTGTTGATTTCTGTTAATTTTGAAAGAGCCAAGAGTTTAATATAAGTAGCTGGAATGTGAACTAGCCCATAGCTAGGGCTAGCATTACTGTAAGAACTATCTGAGCAGTGCTCTTAGTAGGATAAGGAATTTTATTGAGCTTCTATGAAAGAAACAGAATAAAATAAACATTATTTATTGTTGATGTGTTTGTTTTGTTTTTTTTTGCTTCTCTCTTCAGAGTGGGTGTCAAAAGGACATGCTAATGGCAAGTGAATTTGAACCTGTGCTGCTGCACATTGCTTAAAAATGTGAGCTAAAAAAAACTATCAGACTGTCTGCTTAGATGGAGGCAAGTGTCTAAGATGCCTAGGGACCTTGATAAAAAAAAGGGAGGTAGTTTAGTCTTGCTTGAAATAAACTGCCTCTTAGGTTAGAAGGTGGTGACATGTAAAGGGAGCTTTAGAGATGCAGCAAAACATTATGAGACAAAACTCTTCTCTCCCCCACCGCCAAACCCCTGAAGCATCACAGTCTGTAAAAGATGCATTAGATTTATCAATAGACCTTTCTTTACTCAACTGTGCTGCAATTCCTTTTGGGAAAAATTGGGTTTTCATCAAAGACACAGAAGACTATGAAATTGGAAGCAGATGTGAAGTTGGACTGGATAGCTATATAGCTGTTTCTTTTGTGGAAGCACTTTTGAACAAACCCAGCCTTATGTGCTCCTTGCTGTCTTGCCCCATGTAACTCACATGCCTGCTTTTTACATTTTCCAGGGAATCCAGAGGTGCAGAGTAACTAACTGATCTAAGTGTAAGCTTCTTCCCTATCACATCATTTATCTCTTGATTTTCCAGTGGTTCCTATATTCTTTGGAAGATATGTTTGAATAAAAATATAAATATTTTGCATAATTAACAAAGTACAAAAAAATACACACAGTGGTCCTCATATAGGGGCTGAATTTACTCCTGGTTATTAGTGCTTTTGATGGCCTGGATGAAGTTTACAGCTGGTCCCAATAAGATATCTTAATTTATTGGCATGCTTTAATTTGTTGAAAACAGACTTAGATCTCATCTACTTTAAGAAAGCTCTGTCTGCTGGCATATTGAGTTATTATTGTTATTAATGTAATTGTTGAACAGAGAAGAGTACAATTTTAAAGATTATTACCCATTTTTTGGATACATTTCTATTCAGTGACTGGGGCACCACATGCATTGTGCTGCAATGAAAAGAGGAGCCAAACAACAGGATTTATGATGTTGTTTATCCATTGATGATGCTTCCCCATTTTTGATTTACAGCAGAATTGAGCCTGGGCCCAGCTAGGTATGGTTTCAAAGAGAGCCCCAGGTGCTATTTCATTTGCTCCCAAGGGCATCCTGGCAGCTGTTGCTTGGCTGCACTGATAATTTGATGCTGAAATGGGTCTGCTTTTGCAGGACAGAGGGAACAACCTGGGGCCTGGAGGACTGGTCTGTGTTGCTCATCTTAGCACAGGGCAAATTCTCTGTTTCAGAGGTCCAAGAATGGACATTTTGGCTCGTCCTTCACCTACTTTGGCTTCCCACTACACAGCTATGCATGCTTTCACTTCCTTGCTCTTCACCCCATACCAGCTTCTTCATGTTCTCTGCCAACTATCCTCCACTCACCAAAGACCTGCTCAATTCCCTCCTCAACCCACTTACCCTCTATGGGCTGTGCCTACAACTTCTGCATCTTTTGTGGGGTCCACTTCTTCCATGGGGTCAGCCTTCACTTTGGCTTACTTCTGGTGCTAAGCAGAGGTGATGAGACAGGAAGAAAGAAAGTAGCAGGCACTGCTGAATCTGAGCATCTCTCCTGCTAAGCTTGGAGCAGCACTGCAGTGATTTTAAACAAGTCAAGTAATTAATGTGCCTTCCTGTTGGAGATCAAAGTGAGGATTCAGACCCTGAGACTTAACTACTGAAAATCACAGGCCGAAGAGTGAAATGGCAAGTTTTTGATAAAAAAGTTACTTAAAATATTCCTTATGCAAAGACAAATCAGTATTTTCCTGGAATAGGCACATATGAAGTGTGTATGTTTTGTGAAAAGTATGTATGTCACGCTAGGAGATTAGAATTCAGCTATTACAAGAGATCCAACTCAATCCATTAATAAAGCTGCTTGTACAAGGCTGAGCCCATCAATGAAAGTTCCAATACCAATCACCCAACTGTGAGGTTACTCCTTGAATCTGCACAGCTCACCACGTGTAGTACACTTTCCAAAGTTCTGTAAAACAGATCAGGATTCAGATTCTGTTCTCAACTCTGACTGCAGTTTCTGTCTCATAAAAGAGATAAAAAATTGGGGTGTAGTTGTACTTTTCCAGAAATACAGGGTTACCATGAATCTCTGGCTGTTTTCTGAATGATTAACAATGAATCACTGTTTTTTTTTTACAAGTCTCAATGCATTCACCATATGCCAGGTGTCGCAAGAACATGAGAACATCTACCAATTTGAAACTGGCTAAACGGCTTCACACTGGCATCTCTAGTTTGTAGTAGGAGTCTTGAGAAGGAACTACTTGAGTTTAGCATTCCTAGTATGGATCAGATACTCTCATCTTCTTGAGCATAATTATCCACCCCCGCCATCTCATCCTTTCTATATTTCCCAGTAGGAGGATCAAAAGAAAGTTAGTTAACTGCAGTATTCATCAGATAATCCAAAAGAGGCATTAATCAGGAGGACAGTATTTCCAAATAATTAAATCAGGGGTTAATTCCATACTTTTTTATCTGATTTTCCTGTGATTGTAAGTGTGGCATTTCTCAGCTTAAATCCTAGTGAAAAAAGACTCCCTGCTTGAGGAGAGTGGTTCTGGAAGGGAAAAAAGAGAAGGAAAAGGAAATGTATGTCTTCTTCAGGACACTTGCTGCCTACTGATAAGTTTTAATGGAAATTATTATTCTTGGCATTACGATAATACCTGGGGAGTTGCTGAAAAAACCAGTAAGCAGAAAAGTATCCTAATTTTGTGTGTACATATATAGTTGCATAAGAAAGACATGCTTACTTCCTTACT